CGTAGAGCTGGAGCAGATTACCAACATCCACCGCCACCACCAGCTCCGTCAGGTTCCTCTGACACACACACACACAAATATAAACACACACATACACATATAGACATGCAAATACAAACACACACATACTCACATAGACATATATTCACACACACACACGCATAAATATACACACATATAGACATGCATGCACAAATATACAGACACACACACACATATATACAAACATACATATATATATATATATATATATATATATATATATGTGTGTACAAACACTGACACACACTCTCACAAATACAAAAACACACACACACAGACATATGCACATATATACAAATACACAGACACAAATACACGCACTCACACAAATAGACAAATATATACACACATAAAAATTGCAAACACAATAAACAGACACACACAAACACAATCAACAAATGATCTGTCAGATCGAGCCACAGTAACTACTGAAGCTCTTCAGAAAGACACTCACACTCTCCGGAATAGACGGCAGGGCTTTGGGATCTGGAGCAATAAAGTACGGGATCTGACAGAGAGAGACATGGTGTCACAAAACACACACACACACACACACACACACACACACACACACAGTCACCAGGAAAAGAGGCTCGTGTCTAAGTGAGACCAATTAATATGTTTGATTTTAATTGTCAAGCCAATCATGGTTGAGTTACAGTTAGTGTTTTAGTCAAGCGTTAGATTGGAGATCGCCTCATGGGGTCAGTTTCACACACTGGATTAGAGTGGATTACTTTAATTAGGATGTATTAGACGCTGGAGTTCAGTCCGGTCGGCTGCTTTTATAGCGAATCAGGGACTCACCCCTGCTGACTCCTCCCCTTTAGGGGCGTGTCCACATATGCCAGGCATCTCACTTCCAATCATTAGCTTTGCTCCCTCAGTGAAGAACACAGGAGCCTGATTGTGATGTCACAAGTGATGTCATAAAGGGAGATTCCGTCAGCCAATCAGCACTTACCATCTGCAGCGTGATGGAGCCATTGGCCGGAGGAACCGGGTGCTTGTAGAGAGCCGACAGCAGCTCTGTCATCTCATTCGTCTGCCGAAGGGTTCAAATAGATAGAAAAAAAATACGATATTAATATAATGACGATATTATTTTGTTTGTTTATGAAACAAAGACTAGAAAGAATACAGCTAAATAGAAAAAGTATAGAAGGGATACAGCTAAATAGAAAGAGTCTAGAAGGGATACAGCTAAATAGAAAAGGAGTCCAGAAGAGATACAGCTATATGGAAAATGAGTTTAGAGAGGATACAACTAAATAGAAAAGGAGTCTAGAAGGGATACAGCTAACTGGAGAAGGAGATACAAGCTAACTGGAGTCTAGAAAGGATACAACGATACAACTAAATGGAAAAAGATCTAGAAGTGATACAGCTAAATAAAAAAGAGTCTAGAAGGGATACAGCTAAATAAAAAAAGAGTCTAGAAGGCATACAGCTATATAGAGTCTAGAAGGAATACAGCTAAAAAAAGAGTCTAGAAGGGATACAGCTAAATGGAGTCTAGAAGGAATACAGCTAAAAAATGAGTCTAGAAGGGATACAGCTAAAAAAAGAGTCTAGAAGGGATACAGCTAAAAAAAAGAGTCTAGAAGGGATACAGCTAAATGGAGTCTAGCAGGAATACAGCTAAAAAAAATGAGTCTAGAAGGGATACAGCTATGGACAATTCCGTCATTGTACATCAATATTTTTTACAATACTGTAAGAGTTAGGCTTATGGTTGGGGTAGAAGTAGAAAATACAAGTAATGGGTAATTTATCAAATAATTTGAATAATACTGTCTATACTTACTGTTTTTCCATTATTGTAACGGTTGGGTTTGGAGTTGTGATAGACATTAATAAAATACATTTATTGTTTGTTAACTTCTGGCTGCAACTGTATCCCTTCTAGCAACAACCAAGAAAGTCTGAAATGCTCACATATAGGATGTATACATGGGATTGAATGTTTAGATTTTAACACTGGCATCCAGTTAAAAATGACATCACTTTTTTTTCTAATAAACTACTGATGACATTTCTTGTCAAATTGAAAATAATAATAATCTAATTACTAAGTTGTAATATTTTCTACATTCATCATGTTCTATTACTATACACTCTACATTTATATTTAATAATATTTTATTCTGCAATTATCATCTCTATATTCAAGCTATTCTTAATAAGCGTGAGATCAGCATATTAGCATGATGTCTGAAGGAAAATGCTAAATCTAACACGTTCAGCTTCATAATCCCTTATTTGTGTTTGTGATCATATACAGCAGTCTTGTTTTAAAGCAACTTTCAGAAATGTTGTTAAAAAGCTCACCTGTCCTTTCGATGAACACTCCGCGAGGTTATTCAGAAGTTTGTAGAAGACCTCAAACCAGGGCAAATAACTGTGTGTGAGAGAGAAATCACTCTTTACCAACATCAAATAACTGATCAATCGCTTCTGTTTGTACAGGAGACAAAAGAAGTCTATTTTGCTTACTCCATTGGCAGATTATTTAGCTTGTTTTAAGGAAAAACTCACTTCATTTGAGCAGATTATTTATGAAAACAAGACAATTTGTTTTGCTTGTTTAGAAAACGCTCCTTGATTTAAGAATGTTCTGATATTTGGACTTGAAAAAAAGATCAAATCACCACACACCAGCTATGGGTGGAGTGGAGAGACAGTGATAAAGCCAGTTCAGTGGATGGGCATGATCGGGAGGCCATGATGGGTAAGGGCCAATTGAAAGTATTTGACCAGGAGGTTACACCATGGGGTTTTTAATGACCAGAGAGGCAGGACCATGCTTTAACCTCTCATCCATAAGGCGCTGCTGACTGACAGTATAGTTTCCCCTTCACTTTACTGGGGCATCAGGAGGCGCTCGACCTGCGGCCTGTGTGGTGTTAGTATCAGGCCTCACTGACACCACTTCCAACAGCAGCCTAGCTTTCCCATGTGGTTTCCCATCCAAGTACTCAGCCCCGCTTAGCTTCAGTGAGTAGCTATATATAAAAATTTAAATGAGAAAATACCCCCAAACACACATTTACAGTCATTTTGTAAGTATAAACATTTTAGGTTCACAAAAAGTAGCTTTAGAAATAAATATTTTGATACAACATGGAATTTATTACGTTTATTAACATTTCAGGCTACAAAAGCCGTGCTTATTTTTATTTTTTCTTGCTCAGAAGAAGTGAGTTTTTACATATATTTTAAACCCCACTTGTTGTTTTTTCATTGGCCTGACAGGAAATTTGCATTCTGCCTTTTTTGTTTCCTATTTTTTATTTCCTAATTGTTTGCCTGCTAGTTCTGTATTCTAAAATCTATGATAATGTAAAGCACTCTCGTGGCTATTTTTAAAATGTTTTATAAATAAAATGAACATGAAACTATTTGCAGAGTACCTTATATTTAAAAACCTATTTGGTTATCAACATCACCAACAAAATATTTTCATGTTCTGCAAGAAATCCACGTCAGCTTGAAGAACACGGTGTTAAGGGGATCCTGTTAATGCTGACAAAACTGAGCAAAAACAGACACTGTGTCTAAAATACATCAGAATATTAACTTATTACTTCCTGAGCTGCTGAGTGAAATCATGATCTCATGTGATACTCAATTTGCTGCTCGTGTGGTGTTGCTTAAATCATTTGAAACAAAAAAACAAACAAAAACTCACACAGGACAAAAATCATCACTGTATAAAATGTAATATGAGTAGAGCCAGACGGAACGTTTTTTGCAATTTCTGCTGAGAATTTTGGTAACAGTATTTTGGAATTATTTTGGTAGTATCATCACTAAAACCTTGATATGTAAAATAAAAAATAATATTGTTTTAACTTTTATTTAATGTTTAAAATGCAAATCCAATTAGATTTGCTTTATTTGGTAAATAAAGCAAGTTTGTCATATAATGTACAGTTGAGATCAGAATTATTCGCCCCCCTTTAAATTTTAGTTTTTTTAATATTTCCCAAATTATTTATAACAGAGCAAGGAAATTTTCACAATATGTCTGATAATATTTTTTCTTCTGGAGAAAGTCTTATTTACTTTATTTTGGCTAGAATAAAAGCAGTTATTAATTTTTTAAACACCAATTTAAGGACAAAATTATTAGCCCCTTTAAGGAGTTTTTTTCTGACTGTCTACAGAACAAACCATCATTATACAATAACTTGCCTAATTACCCTAACCTGCCTAGTTAACCTAATTAACCGAGTTAAGCCTTTAAATGTCACTGTTTATAGAAGTGTCTTGAAAAATATCTAGAAACATTTTTATTTACTGTCATCTCAGCAAAGATAAAATAAACCAGTTATTAGAAAACATTACTATATAATTACTATATAATATAATATTACTGAAATTAATAAAAAAAACTGAATGAATATGAAATTTACACACATTTACTCAAGTAAATAAACAGAATTTATGATGGGCTAAAAATCGCACGCAGATTCCAGGTTATTTTCATATAAACTTACATTTTAATATTTAATTTAAGTTAAAGAGGTCATACATTTTGTATTGCTCTCTGAAATCAACTTATATTGTAATTAAGATTTTTTTCAGAAATAACTATTTTCTGCGCACTTTTTGAGCTTCTTCAGAATAGTTGAGTGGGCGTGGCTAATAGTAACCTCAGAGGTAGACGCCCACTGCTCTGATTGGCTGACAATTTTGCATATACACAAGTCTAAACTGGTAGTGAACTACAGTAGAAGTGGGCATTGATCTTTGGTGGAGGCGAAGCTTATCCATCTATTACATCATAGAGTAGAACATTCCAGAACCTGTGGTTTATTCAGGCTCCCTTCGATATAAGCTGATTTTAGAGGAACCATGAAGTGTCGAGTTCTGCAACTTACAGGATGTTTTTATAGCACTATAAGCTCTTATTTGCCAAAAAATTAAGGGAATTTTGGTAATTTTGGGAATTT